CATCCAAGACGTGTCTGTAGGAGCTGCACACCCAGAGCGCTGCGGAGGCTGCTCCGAGCCTTTGGTCCTGCGCATCTCCCATCCTACCACGGGTTCTGCTCCAGAGGCCCCTCCCTGGGACCCTTCCTTTCTCTCCCTGCCATCACTTTTGTCCCAGGTGGGTCCTTCCCTCCTCTGCTCCTCCAGAGGTGGTCCCACAGCCTGCAAGGACGTGGGCAACAGCAGCATCCATCTCCCTTCCATGAGCTGGGCACTGAAGGAAAGGGGAAAGAGCCAGGCTGAGCTCTTCCTCCTCCGCGGTACCTTGTCCCTGCATGGTCCAGCTTCAACCCCTGCAGGCAGCTGCCCTCATCCCTACACCCGCCTCCATCATCTTCCAACACATTCATAGTGGCCCCATGGGGAAACCTGCACTGGGAAAACTGCTTCAGAGCAGGCTCCTGTGCAGGGGTGGGCAGCACCTGAGTGCCTCTGCCAGCTCCTGCTGCTGACAGCACTGCCCTTGCTCCGGACGTCCCGCTGCTTCCCCTCTGGCTCTTTGGCCGGCTCCGCCTGGCACAGGTACAGCCTCTGAACAGGAATCGGATTTTGCTCAAAAGCATTAATTTCTTGTGGATGTGGAGTGCCCAGATGGCCTCAGCGGCAGCAAGGGGAGGCCTGGAACGTGGCACCGAGCAGTGTGAAAAGCCGAAGTCAAATATCATCCCCCCCAAGTCAGCTGGGTTTGTTCAGCCTGCCTGCATGGAGAGGATGAGGGAGGCATCGCTCCAGTGCAGCGGTGGAGCTGGCACCTCGGGCATGCAGCTGTGAGCCCTCACCCTTCCCCAGAAGGTCCAGAATCATGGAATCACGGAATCCTGGAATGGTTTGGGCTGGAAGGGACCTCAAAGCTCACCCAGCTCCAACCCCTGCCACGGGCAGGGACCCCTTCCACTGGAGCAGCTTGCTCCAAGGCCCTGTGTCCAACCTGGCCTTGAACACTGCCAGGGATGGGGCAGCCACAGCTTCTCTGGGCACCCTGTGCCAGCGCCTCAGCACCCTCACAGGGAAGAGCTTCTGCCTAAGAGCTCATCTCAGTCTCCCCTCAGGCAGGTTAAAGCCATTCCCCTTGGCCTGTCCCTACAGGCCCTTGTCCCAAGCCCCTCTCCAGCTTTCCTGCAGCCCCTTTAGGCACTGGAGATGCTCTGAGGTCTCTCCTTAAGGAGCCTTCTCTTCTGAGCAGCGGCTCCAAAGTTTCCCAAACACCCCTTTAACAGCCTGGCAGAGGGTGGGGAAGGAGGACCCAGGGCACCATCTCCACAGCATCACCCTGAAGTGGGGATTTATTCCTCTCATCCTCGACTCACCGAATGATGCTCCTCTGCCAGAGCCAGGTGAGGAACCGGGCTCATCCTGCGCCCCATTTGTGAGCTTTATCCTGGAACCCCTTTCCTGGGCAGCACTCTGCCACAGAGCCTCATGCCTGGGCTCTGCATCTGCTTTAGGACCATGGAGTGCTGGTGGCTGTCATGCTGGGCACGGCACGGTTGTGTCTTGTGGCTCCGTGGGGGGAGCATGCGTTTGGTTTGATGCTGAGATTTACCCCAGTCGTGGGGAAGGGGGAATGCAAACGCGGTGCGTTGTTAATTAAAGGCTGATGATCAGCCTCTGCCTACAGAGCATCAGTGGCTCTGGGTGTAAAGAGGTTGGATCTCCTCAGCAGCGTGTGGGTGTTGGGGTGTTGGGGTAGGGGTTATGTTTGTGAAAGTTGGGATCGGTTGTTTCAGTGCACCGTGGTGTGCCTGTGGTGGTTACAGACGTGGGATGCTGCTGGCTGCTCAGTGGGGATGCGGGGATGGGGATGAAGTGATGGGGATGTGGGGGCACTGGGATGTGGGGGTGCAGAGATGGGGATAAAGTGATGGGGATGTGGGGATGCAGGGATGGGGATGAAGTGATGGGGATTGGGGCTGCAGGGATGGGGATGAAGTGATGGGGATGCAGGGATGGGTATTGATGGGGATGAAGTGATGAGGTTGTGGGGGCACAGGGATGTGGATGCAGGGATGGAGACACAGGGATGGGGATGGGGATGAAGTGATGGGGATGTAGAGGTGCAGGGATGGGGATGAAGTGATGGGGATGCAGGGATGGGGATGCAGGGATGGGTATTGATGGGGATGAAGTGATGAGGTTGTGGGGGCACAGGGATGTGGATGCAGGGATGGAGACACAGGGATGGGGATGGGGATGAAGTGATGGGGATGTAGAGGTGCAGGGATGGGGATGAAGTGATGGGGATGCAGGGATGGGGATGCAGGATGGGTATTGATGGGGATGAAGTGATGAGGTTGTGGGGGGCGCAGGGATGGGGATGCAGGGATGGAGACACAGAGATGGGGATGGGGATGAAGTGATGGGGATGTGGAGGTGCAGGGATGGGGATGCAGGGATGGAGACACAGGGATGGGGATGAAGTGATGGGGATGTGGGGATGGGGATTGGGATGAAGTGATGGGGATGTGGGGATGCGGGGATGGGGACATAGGCGTGGGGACGCAGGGATTGGGATGAAGTGCTGGGGCTGAAGTGATGGGGATGGGGCTGAAGCGATGGGGATGTGGATGTGGGGACGCAGGGATTGGGATGAAGTGCTGGGGATGGGGCTGAAGCGATGGGGATGTGGGGACGGTTGGTGCTCACGGAGAGGTCTTTCAGTGCCTCTTTGTCGAGCTCCGAGGCCAGGAGCCAGCCCCGCGCTCCGAGCCGGCTCCTTCCGCAGCCTCTGCTCCCCTTTGTGCTGCCCGGAGCAGCCTCCGGGACGCCTTCGAGCCCCAACTTTCCCACGGCCGCCACCCGGCAGCGGCCCCCGCCGGGGGGGTCCCGGTCCGTGCCCCCCCCCCCCTCCCCGCGCTCCGCCCCCCGCGGGATCGCGGCCGGGGCCGGTCGGGGCGGGGACCCGGGGCCGGGCGGAACCCGCTGCTCCCCCCCCCCCCCCCCCCCGCCCAGACGGCGGCGGCGGCGAACGGGGAGGGCGGAGGAGCCGCGCGTGGCCCCCCCCGCTCCATGGCCCCGGCAGCGGCGGCGGAGCCCAGCGCCCGCTGCCCCCCGGGGACCGGCACCGGCCCCGGCCCCGGCCGGAGGCGCTCGGCTCGGAGGCCCCCGGTGAGTGCGGGGCAGGGGGGGGGGACGGGAGGCGGAGCGGTTGGGAGGGGGGGGGGGGGCCAGGCGGACACGGCGGTGTCCGGACACGCTCGCATCGGCCCCGGGGGCAATGAGCCCGCGGCGGGAACCCACGGGCACGGAGGACCCATGGACATGGGGCAGCCGCGGGCACCGGGAGTGTGCGGCTACGGGCAGCCGCGGGCACGGGGCAGCCACGGGCACGGGGCACCCATGGGCATGGGGCACCCATGGGCGCAAGGCACCCACGGGCATGGAGCACCCATGGGCGCAAGGCACCCACGGGCACGGGGCACCCATGGACATGGAGCACCCTCGGGCATGGAGCACCCACGGGCATGGAGCACCCATGGACATGGGGCACCCACGGGCATGGAGCACCCATGGGCGCAAGGCACTCGGGCACGGGGCACCCATGGACATGGGGCACCCACGGGCATGGAGCACCCACGGGCACGGGGCACCCATGGACATGGGGCACCCACGGGCATGGAGCACCCATGGGCACGGGGCACTCATGGAAACAGGGCACCCGCAGGCACTGGGAACGCGCAGATCCGGGGTGCAGATGGGCACAGGGCACCCATGGATACTGAGCACACACGAGCACTGGGAACCCATGGACCCAGAGCACCCATGGACACCCAGCACACACAGAGACAGCAGTCAAGCCCCCGCAGGGACACGCGTGCAGCCGCACTGCCATGCACACGCACTGACACGCGTGCTCACGGATGGGTGCACACACTCGTGTGCGGGCACACGCACCCTTGCACGGGCACAGCACGGCTGCTCCAGCCAAACCCCGGGGCTTTTGGCAGTTCCCAGATCCTAGAATCATGGACTCATGGAATGGTTTGGGTTGGAAGGGACCTTAAAGCTCACTTTGTTCCATGGAGTCTCCTCGTAGAGGGTTGGGATGAGGAGGGGGTCGTGCCGCTGATCCCCACACAGGGTTTGATGTGGACACGCAGGAGAGGAGAAGTGGGTGGAAATCATCCCCGCAGCTCCTGGAGTTTGGGATGGGGCCGGCCTTTTGGCCCAAGGGGCTCAGCTTGGCTGGGGGGAGCACCCACGGCTCCCATCGCTCTGCCGGGTGGGTTTTGATTCCTGTAGGTGGGAATAAACGGGAGATGATGGAGGTTTAAAACACTGGAGACAAAAGTAATCCCAGCTGGGAACTTCATTGTGTGCAGGGAGAGCGGGATGCGGGTCCCTGGGGTGGGATGAGGTGGGTTTATGTGTGCTTGTACCCATCGGATAGCTCGGGCCAGGCCTGGGAGCGGGGAGGACTTGGCTGCCCCCCCTCCGGAGTCCCTCCTCCCGCTGCTCTGGCAGGGATGTCCCAAAGGAGCAGCAGGGAAGGTGCCAAATTCGGGCAGAGTTTGGTCCTGCCAATCCCAACCTGCGGATTTGCCTTCCTTTCCTTTGGACCGGGAGGGTTTGCAAGGTGCTCGGCTGCAGCCTCCATCCCCCGGGGCCCTGCGCCCTGCTCCGCTTCCCAGAGGCAGGAATTCTCCCAGGAAATCCCTCCGGAGCTTCCCACTCCTCCCCCTCCTCCTCCGAGCCGTTAGCAGCCCTCTCTCCATTTAATTTTAGATGCCTGCAATATCTTGAATTTGGATTTATTAATGATTTCCATGTGGTTCCTATCAGGACGCGTTGAGCAATGCAGATGGCCTGGTTTCGGCATCAGCTGGGGGCGGGGGGGGGGGGGGAACACAAGATCTGTGGCATTTCCATTGTCTCCTGAAACAATGGGCCCATCAGAAGCAGCTGGGATGATGATCCCTTGCTCCGGGGCTGTGATTCTGTGGGATCCATCCAAGCTGCCTGGGTGACCAGCGCTGGGGATGAGTCGGAGGAGCGGAGCCAGCCTGGGTGAGGGAGCTCGTGTCGTGAGTCACCGGCTGGATGTTCCCATGTGCCGGAGGCCGGGGAGGAGCTTGGCACATGGCCCTGTGCTGGGAGCAGCGAGGACCTTGGGGAAGTCAAGGTGAAGGGAGCTGGGGGCTCTGCTGGCTCCCACCTCTTGCTGCATCCCCATCGGGACCATCTCAACCGGTCAGACACAGGGTGGAAACCAAAGGGACAGACCCCGCCGTGTCCCCAAACCAGCGCCGTCTTTCCCTGTATCCTGCTGCCCTGGATCCCATTCCGGGAGACAGCGGTGGCCCCTTGGCTCCGGTCTGGGATGTGTGACCTGAAGATGAGGATCCAAGGTGCTTCTCCACAGCTGGGCTCGGTGTGGAGGTGATGCCTCCATCACCAGGTGCTTAGGGGGGGTGATGGTGTGTTAGCACCTTCCCCATCCCACCCTTCCCTTGGGAAAACCGAGGTCTGGAATGAAACAAGGGGTGTTCGGAGTGAGGAGCCATCACCTTCGGGTTACAGGCAGAGGGGTCTTCTGTGCTGCAGCAGAGGGAAGATGCACCACAAGCCCAGTTAAAACCTGCTGTGAGACCCCCCCAGCCCAGCACCAGAAGGTGATTCCTGCTGGGAATGGGGCTAATCCATCCTGCACCGCGATAACAAGTGTTACTGGGTTTATGTGGAAGCTCCTATGAGGGACCTCGGTTGATTATGATTGATAACGGGTGTCCCCAGCCCAAGATCTGTCACCGCACCGGGAACACAGCAGGGAGGTTTCACCCCTGCGGACTGGGAGCTGCTGGTGGGAGCTGGGATGGCCACAGGGTTTTCTCCTGCTGGAAGAGACCCGGAAAGATTCCCGGCAGCTTTTATCTCCTTTCTTCCCTCTGGACACCTCCTGTGTGCAGCCGAGGGGGAAACGTCAGAATCGGTTCATTCCCAACTCGGGAGAACGGCTGCAAAGCCACAAGATTTGGGGAAAAGAAGAGGAAAAAAGGAGGTGCTTCCATTTGTCACGCATTGCTGGGGGTGCATCCTGAGCCCGCAACTCGTGCCAAGCTCGATGGGTTGGAAGGGACCTTAAAGCTCACCTTGTTCCGTGTAGTCTCCTCGCAGAGGGTTGGGGTGAGGAGGGGAGGAGACCCACAGCACGGGGTCCTGGAGCAGGGCAGGATGGAAACGCTCCCCGGGGAGATGCTGGGGTTTAAATCCCTGCCAGGGTGATGGAATCTACCCCGTGCCAAAGCCTTTTCCAGGTGTGAGCCCCTCGTCCCTCAGCCGGAGGGAGATTTTGAGGCCAAATCTGCTTTTGGGTGACCTGCGGCGTTGGTTGTGGCAGGGGCAGGGACCCTTCCCAGGCTCTGCTTTACCCCCATCCCGGCTCCGCTGCTCTTGGATGCGTTGGGATTTAGTGTCAAGTTTTAGGAGCATCTGCCCGCGAAGGCGGCAGGAGGGGATTGGGTGGGAGGATGGAGCTAGGAAGAAGCCTTCGTGATGGGGGGGATTAGGGAAATGTTTGGGTTTATTTTAATGCCAGGCTTATTGCAGGGATTGGGAGCTTAACTGCGAGCCTGGCAGCGGAGCAGCCCTCGGCTCGCTCTCTACCGGCATTCCCGTCCCTAGGCCGGCATTCCCTTTGGGAACAGAAACCTCGAAACCGGCGGTGTCGGGAGCCATGGATTGCAAGGGGGTGGCCCCAGAGTCACCTCCTGTCCCCACCGGGGTTGTTGTCCCCTTGCCCCCACAGCACCCATGGGCCCCAGGGCTGTGTCCAGCACCGCTGCTCCAGGGCTGAATTAATCCCTTGGCGGGAGCGGCGGCGGCTGCGAGCTGCAGAATGGGGTGGAAACGTTGGGATTTGGCTCATTTTGTTTTCCGTTCTTTTTTTTTTTTTCCAAAGAGCTTACATAACCTTGGGGATTCTATTAATAAAAATAATGGGTTTGAACTCTGGGAACAACCAGCCCCGCGCTGAGCAATCCCGAGCCTCAGCTCCACAGCGCGGCAGGAGATGAGGGGAGAGGAGAGGTGCTGGGGGCAGGAAGAGTGATAGGGGAATGGGGAGCAGGAAAAGGAGATTCCCAGCCTGGATGCAGGTTGATGGCATCTTCCTGCCCTGGATCCCCACCCCTGTGTCCAGGGAAAAGAAGAGGAGGGAGGGAATGAGGTTATTCAGGCCCCGGGGATGTGGGACCTTCTTGTCCTGCTGCACTGCTCCCACAGTTTAATCCTGGGTTGTATCATAGAATCATAGAATGGTTTGGGTTGGAAAGGACCTTAAGATCATCCAGTTCCAACCCCCCTGCCGTGGGCAGGGACGCCTCACACTAAACCATGGCACCCAAGTATCCAGTATAAAAATATGGGAGCAGCATCCCAAATAACACCCAGACCCAACGCAGGGCCCTGGCTGGACCCGGATCTAAGATGGCAATGAGGGGATGTGGAGACATGACCTGAATCAGGGCATTTAAAGGCAAAGATCCCACGGTCTTTGGGATGTGTTTCTGCTCCTGGTTATTTCCCTTCTAACACCAAACCCTTCTAACCCTCATTTTCCTATGGAGGGTGCCCGTGGTGTTGGGTTCATTGCGTTTCCCCCTTGGCCACGCAGGATCCTGGTTCCAGGGGAGCTTTCCCATCCCCCTCAGCAGTTGGGTTTGGGTTGTTTGGGACTTTATTTCCCTTCCTCCTTTCAATCTCCCTTATTCAAATTGTCACAGCTTGAGCGCCTGGTGCCAGGAACACGCTGTCATCCTGGAACTCATATCTTTAATTCCTTCCCTCTGGTGTTAATAACACCTTAAGATGATTAAGGCTGAGGATAAAAACCCTTTGTGTCTTGTTTTCCTGCCATCGCTGATGCTGCTTGCTGGCTCCTGGTGCTTCATTCATCCCGGGGAGTGAAATGAGAGCAGCCTCCCCCCTCCAACCGGGGTCTTTCTGCTTGGGTTTACTTTCTGCCTCTTCATTGCTGAGCGTCGATGCCACCGGGCTCTGCGCCTCTCCTGCTGCTCTTCTGCTGCAAGCCCCCTCCTGCAGCATCCCTTGGCCGGGGGCCACCCTGCAGCATCCCCAGCGCCCATTTGGGAGCATTCCTGCTGCACAGCCACGTTGCTGGGCGCACAGCAGCGAGCAGCCGGGCGGCAGGGGCTGTCAACACGGGGTTATCCATCTGCTGTTAAAGACGTGTCCGGGCTGGGACGTGCCCAGAGCCTGTCTTAGCCTCCCCGTACCGCGGGGCACCGCTGACCCTGTGCAGCACGGAGCCAGCCCGGCTGATGCTTCCCTGCGGGGTGCTCACGGGCTGGCTTAGCAGCAGCTTCAGCAGCGCCCTGCTCATCCAGGACACAGGGTGCTGGATAAGGAGCTGTGCTGAGCACCCTGCGAGGAGCCCTGCTGGGGACTGGGCAGGCTCTGGGCATGAAGCAGGCTGAGGAAGGCGGCTCTGGCTGTCGGCGCCGGTGCTGCCTGGGGCTGGGCTGCTGGGGCTGGGGCTCACCGGCGGCTCCGGGTGGTGGCACCGCGGGTTTGGTGTGCAGGGGGTGCCTGGGTAGCGAGGGGAGCAAACGGGAGCTGGTGCAGCTCCGGCAGACCCTGAGCTTGGGTTTGCACACCCAGCCCTGCCTCAGTTTCTGCGGCCAGTGGGAAACTTCCCTTCCCCTTTTCCCTTTCCCTTTCCTCTTCCCCTTTCCCTTTTCCCTTCCCCTTTTCCTTTCCCCTTTCCCTTTTCCTTTCCCTTTTTCCCTTTCCCTTTCCCTTTTCCCTTTCCCTTTCCCTTTTCCCTTTCCCTTTCCCTTTTCCCTTTCCCTTTCCCCTTTCCCTTCCCCTTTTCCCTTTCCCTTTCCCTTCCCCTTTTCCCTTTCCCTTTTCCTTTTCCCTTCCCTTTCCCTTTTTCCTTTCCCTTTCCCTTTTCCCTTCCCCTTTTCCTTTCCCCTTCCCCTTTTCCTTTCCCTTTTCCCTTTCCCTTTCCCCTTTCCCTTCCCCTTTTCCCTTTCCCTTCCCCTTTTCCCTTTCCCTTTCCCTTCCCCTTTCTCCTTCCCCTTTTCCTTTCCCCATTCCCTTTCCCTTTTCCCTTTCCCTTTCCTTTTCCCTTTCCCTTTCCCTTCCCTTTCCCTTTTCCCTTTTCCCTTTCCTTTTCCCTTTCCCTTTCCCTTTTCCCTTTCCCTTCCCCTTTTCCCTTTCCCTTTCCCTTCCCCTTTTCCCTTTCCCTTTTCCTTTCCCCTTTCCCTTTCCCTTTTCCCTTCCCTTTCCCTTTTTCCTTTCCCTTCCCCTTTCTCCTTCCCCTTTTCCTTTCCCCATTCCCTTTCCCTTTCCTTTTCCTTTCCCTTTCCCTTCCCCTTTCTCCTTCCCCTTTTCCTTTCCCCATTCCCTTTCCCTTTTCCCTTTCCTTTTCCCTTTCCCTTTTCCCTTTTCCCTTTTCCCTTTTCCCTTTTCCCTTTTCCCTTTCCTTTTCCCTTTCCCTTTCCCTTTCCCTTTCCCTTTTCCCTTCCCTTTCCCTTTTCCCTTTCCCTTTCCCTTTCCCTTTTCCCTTTCCCTTTCACCTTCCGCTTTCCCCTTCCCCTTTCCCCTTTCCCCTTTCCCTTTTCCCTTCCCTTCCCTTTCCCTTTCCCCTTTCCCTTTCCCAACACCCATGTGTTTTATGTCCCTTTTATGTCCCTGTGATCCCCACACTCACACCATCCCCATGCTCCCCATGCCCACATCCTCCCCATTCTCCCATCACCCCGGGCACACAGATCCCCAGTGATGCCTCTTCTCCTCTTTCTCCTCCCCACAGCAGGAGGAGCGGCCGGGCCGGACACGATGACCGCGAAGAGCACCGAGAGCAACGGGCCCATGCGGGAGCCAGAGCCGGGGGGCACAAGGTCCCCGGTGCCCCCGGTGCCCCCAGTGCCCCCAGCCCCACCGCGGCGCCGGGGGCATCGTCTGCGGCGGCGCAAGTCCCCGACGGAGGCGCCGGTGAAGGGGCAGCTCCGCATGCGCTCGCCATCGGGAGCCTTCGTCATGGTGGGCATCTCGGTGGTCCTGGTGGGCATGACCATCGCCGTGGTGGGCTACTGGCCCCACCGCGGAGCTGGGGCCGCCGGTGCCGCCAACGTCACGGGGGACGTGAGGAGGGAGGTGGCGGCCGCGCGCCACGTGCCCCACAGCGAGAAGCTCAAGTTGATCGGCCCCGTCATCATGGGCATCGGGCTCTTCATCTTCATCTGCGCCAACACCATGCTGTACGAGAACAGGGACATGGAGACCCGCAGGCTCATGCAGAAGGGGCTCTACTGCATGGTGGCGGCTCTGCCCGAGGGGACCGGCCCCGGGGACGGGCACTGCCAGCACGGGAACACCCAGCCCGTGCCCAAGGCCAACGCTGAGTGCGTGGAGGGCTGCTACCGCGTGGACCTCTCGGGCCAGCCCTGCCCCGGCACCGGCACCAAGTGGTCCAACTGCTACGGCTCCACCAGGCTCCAGACCACGGCCGAGTTCCTGCAGCGCCCGGCAGCATCTCCCGCTGCCTCCCTGCTCAGCCTCCGCTCCGGTGCCTCCGCCGAGGCCAACCTCGGCTTCTCCCCGCAGCCCGGGGCCGAGTCCCTCCTCTCCTCGGCTGTCAGCGCCTTGGCGCTGCCCGTCATCAAGCTCAACAACTGCCTCTTGGATGCAGCAGCGCGAGGGGGCCCTGCAGAGCCCCACCATGAAGCCCCGCAGCTCTCCCAGCCTGGTGGCAGCAGCAGCAGCACCGTGCCCCACGGCCACGACCCTGGTGGTGGCCACATCATCATCAACGTGGATGGAGGCGCGGAGCCGGTGGTGATGGAGCTCGGCCCCGATGCGCAGCTCCACGCCCCGGGGCACTCCAAGTCCCTGGACCTCGGCCAGCCCGGGGTGCTGCTGGTGGCCCCCATCAAGGACCGTAAGAACCGGAGCTGGCCGCGGCTGGACCACGTCAGCCTGGTGGGTTACAGCAAGCTGGAGAGCACCGGCGAGTCCTCGGACCGGCTGCTGGAGCACAGCGAGCCCCGGCCCAGCTCCTGGGCGGTGGGGATGGAGCAGGGAACGCGGGTCTGACACCCCCAGCCCCTCACCCTGCTCCCCAGCACCCACCAGAGACCCCACATCCGGGGGTTGGGGTTCAGGGGTGCTGATGTGAAGCAGTGCCAAGAGGGAGGTCTTGACCTGGTGCTGCTGCCGGAGGACTTGCCTGGGGTGTGATGTCCCCTCCCGGCTGCCTCTCGATGTCTTCCCAGTGGATGCCCTTGGCCTTACAAAGCCCTTTTCCTGGTGGCTTTTCCAGAGGAGCCCTGGCTTTGAGACCCAGCACAAACTGCAGGATGGGGACGTTGGGTGGGTGAAGCCCCACCAGCCCCTGCAGCACTTTATTGCACCGGAGTGTGTGGGGGGATGCTCTGGGGCAGGGGGTGTCCCCTTGCCCAGCCTCAACCCGCTGGAAGGTTTGCTTGACCAGAGCACGTAAACCCAATGGGGCTATTAAATATTACCTTGATGCCATGTGGTCCCACCTCGTGTTGCCGCAGGGATGCTCAGAGTGGGCAGCGGGTCCCAAAGGGTGTCCAAGACCTGCTGCCCCCCCCCAGGCTCAGGGTGGGGATGTTCTGTAAATGATGGGTACGTGCAGGACGAGGTGGGAAACTCGAGGTTTGGAGGGGTTTTAGCAGAGCAGGGATGCAGGAGGAGCCCAGGGGAGGTGCAGGCAGCAGCGGTTCCCAAATCCCCTCTACGGGACAGGGATTGTTTGTGCTGATTGGGGGGGGTGAAGGATGTGGGCTGTGGGAGGAGGGATGTGATGGGCAGGGAGGGAAGGGGGAGCGTTTGGTGCTGTGGTGTTATTTGGTGTCCTCTGGGTGCAGAACAGGAGCTGCATGGAACGAGGCCGGAGATGCGACCTTGGCACTGGGCTGTTGTGATCCCCACGGGGGGTAGCACAGAAACAAAACCCTCCAGCAGGGAACGTATAGCAGGAAAATGGTAGTTGGAAAAGGACGTTACAGCAGGAGGAAAACATGGATAGAATGGGAAATGGAGGAGCAGGTCTGCTCCGTCGGGTGAGGCTGCGCTGCGGGATGCAGCTCGGATCCCATCCCAGCCTGGAGCAGGGAAGCACCGCTCCTCTTTACTTCCAAACAAGCAGTTTTGCCTCTGTCGTTTCTTTCCTGAGCCTTTCCCGGGGTCTTTGCCGTGTTTTTCCCTAGGGAAGGTCATTGCTGTGAGGCTCAGCCCGGTTGATTCCCACCAGCGGTGTCCCCATGGAAGCGTCTCCAGGAGGGTTGTGGGGATGGGGACAGGGGTGAGGAGGTGACGGGTCCCACCAGCCATGGCACGGCCACAAAGCAGCGGTGACGGGGCCTGGTTCAAATACACGGGGACTGGAGGAATATCGGGGAATAACTGGAGGAATACCCAGGAATGACCTTTGTGTTCTTCAGGCTGCAGTGTCCCAGCTGCGCCACCGGCTCAACCAAACCCTGGGACAAACCGCGGCCCAATGCCGGCGTCAGACCGGCTGGGCCCTGGCAATGGGAGCAAGGAACCGGAGCCCCGTGAGGAGCTGCACCAGGAGTGGCACAGGGCCGAGGGCTTCTGGTGTCATTTGAGCCCTTCATTGGCTGGATGGGGCTCAAACGGCTGCAACCCAATGATGGGGGATGAGAGGGGAACCTGCCTGCGGCATCTCCTGCCTGGACCACATCTCCTGCCTGCACCACGTGCGGCCCAAGCATCCTCCTCCTGCCCCAGCATCCTCCAGCCCAGCATCCTTCTCCTGCCCGGCATCCTTCTCCTGCCCCCAGCATCCTCCTCCTGCCCCAGCATCCTCCTCCTGCCCCAGCATCCTCCTTGACGGGATTCCTGAGCCCCATAGGGATCATTTCGAAGTGTGAAGCTGCTGGATTAGTGGATGTGGCAGGGTGAGGAGACCTCTGCTCCCATCATCTGCACATCCCTCACCTTCAGCTCTGCCCGTGGATGTGATTTCAGGAGTGTTTGTGGGATTTTACCAAATGCTGGTTTCAATGGACGGATGCTGCGGATGCTCTCGCCCCCACGCTGTCCCTGTGATGTGCTGGGAATGGATCTGGGAGGAATGGATCTGGGGTGAGAAGATAAATTAAAGCAAACTAACCCAGTATGGATTCCTCTGTTGACCCCCTTGGATGCAGAGCTGTGAAGTTCACCCATCCTGGAAGCACTCATTATGGGTTAACCATCCAGCCATTACCACCCAGGAGGAGACTGCCACCAAGAGACGGGGGATTTCACCCAAAACACCAGCAGAAGATAACAGTGGGGTTGCCCCCAGGGCTGGCACATCCAGGACAGACCATGGGGCATCCCTTGGGCCACCACAGACAAGGGTGGAGGCAGGAAAGGCAACGGGCCCTGGTAATTGCAATTACCATCACCAAGGGACCCCGAGGCTGGTCCATGGCGATGGGACAGGCGTAATTTGGGCTAAAACCAGGCAAAATGTGCAAGATGAGTGGGGGGAAGCAGTGCCCGTGGTGCTTGTGTGTGGGGAGGGGGCAGACCCCACCTGCGCCTCTAAGGGGGTCCCCCATGCCCAGGGCCGCCGCAGGCAGCGCTGGTGGGGCTGCAGGTTCCCTGCCGGGACATCGTCATCCCCAGGGCAAGGGAGCCAGACCCAACCCTTGGAGCACAGCAGCTCCGGCCACATCAGCCACAGGTGGGGATGATCAATCCCACCCCATAGCTCCCACCACACCCTTCCTGCTTCTCCTTTCTCCTTTCTCCTTTTTCCTCCTTTCTCCTCCTTTTTTCTCCATTTTTCTCTTTTTTTTTCTCCTTATTTTCTCCATTTTTCTCCATTTTTCTCCATTTTTCTCCATTTTTCTCCATTTTTCTCCTTATTTTCTGCATTTTTCTCCATTTTTCTCCTTTTTTTTTCTCCTTTTTTCTCCTTTTTTTCTCCATTTTTCTCCATTTTTCTCCTTTTTTCTCCCTTTTTTTCTCCATTTTTTCTCCATTTTTCTCCTTTTCTTCTCCTTATTTTCTCCCTTTTTTTCCCTCCTTTTTTCTTTTTTCTCCTTTTTTCTCTTTTTTTCTCCTTTTTTTTCTCCTTTTTTTTCTCCTTTTTTTCTCCACTTTTCTTCATTTTTCTCCTTTTTTCTCCTTTTTTCTCCATTTTCCCCCATTTTTCTCCCTTTTTTTCTCCATTTTTCTCCCTTTTTTCTCCCTTTTTCTCCTTTTTTCTCCTTTTTCTCCATTTTTCTCCTTTTTTTCTCCTTATTTTCTTTTTTCTTTTTCTCCTTTTTTTCTCCCTTTTTTCTCCATTTTTTCTCCATTTTTCTCCTTTTTTTTCTCCTTTTTTTCTCCATTTCCTTCATTTTTTCTCCATTTTTCTCCTTTTTTTTCTCCTTTTCTCCTTTTTTTTTCTCCTTTTTTTCTCCTTTTTTTCTCCTTTCTCCTCCTTTCTCCTTTTTTCTTCTTCTTTCTTCTTCTCCTTCCTTTTCCTTTCTCCTCCTTTCTCCTTTTCTTCCCTTTTTTCCTCCCCCCCCCCCTTTCTTTTTCCCCCTTTCCCCCTCTTTTTTCCTTCTCCCCCCCCCCCGTCTTCCCCTTCCTCCCCTCCCATCCACAGCCGTGACTCCTCCTCTCCCTTAGGTCCTTCCTCACAGCCTCAGGTCTGCGTGGGGGGAAGCAGACGCACACTTGCAGTGCAGGCCGGGGATGCGGTGCTGGTGCACGACTTAGGGCTGCCGTAAACCTCCTTGCTGAGGCGCGGGGAGAGGAAGTGTTGGCTCTTCTGCGCCCGTTGCCCTGTGTGATGGGTGATGCTGTAGCACCGTGTGTTCCAAGGCAAGGGCCCCAAGCAGGGTGCTGGGGTGCTGATGGGCCCCCAGTGCTGCATCACCTCTTGGGGAGGTGTCTGGGGGCTGCTTTTGGAGGCTTCATTCAATGAAGGGAGATAAGTGCCATGCAAAGCGCTTCTGTGCCCTCCTGAGCTGTCCTTGAACCAAGGACACGTCCCAGCACCCCATGGAGCCAGGATGGGGTTGGGGGTAGTTGCTTGATGCATTTCCTTGGGGCTGGGGGGTCCTGCACAGGATGTGGGCACCTCTGGCCCTGCACATTGCTCCTGTTGCAGGAATGGGGTGAGAAACCTGGGGCTGATCCCCCCGGGCTGGTTCTGGGTCCCCATCAGTTGTTATCAGCATCCCTGCGATGTGCTCATCCCACAGCCCAGCGCTGGAGCCTGGATCTCTTTGGCTTAGAGCCCACTGGGGGGCACTGCCCGTACTGGGGGGACATGGTAGGAAGGAAAGGATAATGTGGATAACGTGGCGTGTCTGGAGTGCAAGGGGTTAACTGGGGCTTGGTGCAGTTAAGGGCTGGGAATCTGGGCTGTGGGAATCCATTCCAGGGAAACTTGTCTTATCTGGATGGCGTGGTGGGATGGGCTGGGAGAAGCCTGTGCCTGGGAGCTCACTGCTATGGAGCGGAGCAACGAGAGGGTTGGGAGCATCACCCCAGCGTGCAGCTCCCTGGGAATCACTGGGTGCAGGTTTTGCACCGCACCACCGGTGCTGCTGCCTCGGGTCCCGTTTCCTTGGCACATCCCGAGGGCAGTGGGATGAATCCAGCTGCTGTGTCCCTCTCCATGGGGTGATGGAGGGCACCGGGCTCCAGCCCCGCTCGAGGGGTTTGGAGGGATGCGGTGATGGAGCAGGATGGCAGGGACGGTGCTTTGGGATGGAGCTGACCCCGCTGCCTGCCCGGCTCCTGCAGCCCTGGGAGCAGCCCTGACCCCAGGGCCTGGCGCTGATCCGTCGGGAACAGGATTGGCTGCCCTGACCCATGCCCGGGAGGAACGACCCAAAAATAGCCCAGGCTGGAAGGAGCTGGTGCTCGAATGGGAACGTTCTCCTCGGGGGTGATGGAGGCTGCGGCCCCGGCCGGGTCTGGGATGGAGACCCCCGGAAGGACCAGGGATGGGAGAGGGGGAAATGGCTTCTGTGGCTCCTTCCCAAAGGATGGGACCGCAAGATGGAGACTTCAGGGTGGGATCCAGGGGCTGGAGCTGGTCTGGGGCCATGCAGGAGCCCAGGCTGGGCCCCCAGGGAGCTGCGGGCTGCTGCTGCCTTCTGCTGGTGATGGGACAAAAGGTTTGCTGTGGGCTTCCTTGTGTTTGTTTGCATCTCTCGGCATTGCCATGGT